TCAAGTTGTCTCATTGTTATGGAGAGTTTTAATTGCCTAGGAATAAAATATGCAGACAGTTTTCTGGGTTAATCATAGACTTTTTCATTTCTTGCCAGACATTACAGAGAATTTATGCGTGAAGAGTAAGGTTTCCCACTAGCGTAGCATACGTTTTTGTTTATCATAAGTGGCTGTGGAAGCATCAATATAGTAATCTTACTTGGATGATTAAGTAACCTAACTCTATGGTTTAGGCGGAACGAAAATCGGTTTTGGAGCCAGGAGCGTGTTTTGCGTGTTGTGATGCTACAAGAGATGAAGTCATATCATGAGGTTTTTCCCATCCACGTATCAGATACTAGCTCAAGTTCTACTCGCCAATAAATGAAGGAAGTAGCTTTTCGTTCTTTCTTCCAACGGACACGGCTTTTAATCATTTCACTTGTATAAAAAATTATATTTTTTAAAATTATATGATTGCCAATGCTTTTATTGCGGGATAAAAATTCCTACTTTGTTGGTGTCTCAATTATCAATTGTGGGTCACAACGTCGCAGGGGGTAAGCACAAAGGTTGGATTATATTAAATATTTATTTCTGTCATCCTGTATCTATAACTCAAAGGAAGTCTTTAAATAATGAGAGGATTATTTCTTTGCGAGTATTAAGGTTCTCCAGTTGCAGGCATGTTTCGTGGTTTCCATCAATCTGGAATTTTCGGAATAATAAACGTTTGCATTTGGTGTTGCAACGTATTCGTAAATAGGTACGGTATCTTTCTAACCCTCTTTGAAACACTAAGGGTTTGCTCCATTTTGCTTTGCAACTTAATTATGTAAAGCACTTCTAACCCCCTTCTATACGTTTTCAAAAGTAGGGTATTAATGGTAATGCTAGCAATGCATGAAATTCACCAGCCAGACATCAATGGGAATCTCAGAGTAACGATCCATACCATTTCCTGTAATCGACCGAGACATTGACGGAGTCAGGTCGTAACTGAATTAAGACTAATTCTGAGGAATAACTACATT